TCTGTAATGGAATACATTTTAAAAGTAACCTTCCCAACACTGACTGTATGTGAAATGAGTTTGTCCCCAACCCCTGATCTAGACTGGATGCTGTCAGAAGGACAGTTGTGCTCTGGATGAATCGCCTCTGGTTTGATGATTTTCCCTGCGTTTTCATCAGAACTCATGTTTAATATCTAAGTTTATTTTGAAAGTCTGCATTATGATTTTTTTCAAAGTAGCTAATTATTCTTTGGTCTGAGTAGCGCTGTAGTTCCTCGGCTCCTGCTAAGCTTCCTGTGGTCTTTCAAGGACTCATTTCAGATGATTAGGCCTCACTCTTTCAGATGCAGGGAACCACGTGAGACGCTGTGGCCGAGTTTTATTTCATTCTGCTGAATGAAATGAATCAAACTACCTTTGATTCGTTTTTTATCTTAACTTGTATGCAGGACAAAAGTGCCCGAGCAACACCCTGCTTCACATTTAGTCACCTCCATAAGCACCCACCTGGACGCTGCCTATTAAAACCTCATTCCTCCACAGTTAGGCACACAGCAGCCGGATTTTTTTTTTCTTTAGGTGATCAGCTGCTAATTAAGGAACATTTCTCTGTGACTCACCACCACGAGCACATTTTATTGCCGCTCAAAGAGCCGTCTCTTGTCAGTGTGATCAAACACATCACGTCACGTAGGAGAAGTTTCACTTGAAAGCTGCAGCGTGGAGACCCGGGTCTCCACCCGAGCTCACCGGCTGGTACATCTGTCCTGAGAGGTTGCGCAGCCGGCACGGCGTGAGGCTTTTTCAAACCAAAAATCCACTTTTTATTCAAAGCACTTTCCAAATCTGCATTTCAAAGTGCAGGATCTGAGAAAGAAACACATATTTGGTCATCGATGGTGACTAAGAAAAGGGTTCTTTGCTCCTTTGTTCAACATCTGAAAAATTGAGGGTTTTTTCCTCCCATAACGACCAAGAAGTATATTTTTTCTTTGTTTTGCTCTTTCTGTAAATTGCATTTGTTTAGCCTCTGGTGGTGTAAATATCCAAGTGGTGTGCAAATGTTTGTCCTATCCGTTTTCCCCAGGATCAAAGTGAAAAAGGAAAAAAGTATTGTTTTGCAAGCTGGATCACATGAACGCCTCGCCTCGCTATTAACAAATCCTAATTAAATAAACTTTACTGCTTAATCCAGATTTTTCTCCACTAAGGCCATAGCCTGCTTAGAGTAGATTTGTACACATTATGAATATTACCAGTTTTCTGGAAAGAAGGGCAACTTTGTGGCGTGTTTTAAGCCTGTATGCTAATATTGGCCAATCCTTTTGTATATATATCAAAACTTTAGCACATAAAAGTGAGACTCTTTGAATGGTTGCACATTATTGTGTGCAAGGAATAAAAATGGTTCTAAACCAAGTCAGTGCCTCATACAAAGAAACACTTCTAGCTGCTGCTGCTGCCATACGAGGTTGTGCTCGAGCGCTCGCCTTCCATAAAGCACGAGTGAGCTATGAGTCTCTGGAGATTATTATATCTATGTCATAAACCCAAATTTCCCATGTTTTAAGACCTGGAGATATTCTGTGGCCTGTATTCTGCGTTTGTTCCATAGCCATTCATTCATTCGTTCATTCATGCTGGGCTTGGATTTATGCGTTCGGCACTGTTGCCTCAGTGTTTTTCTTCTCCTGAATGGACCTTTTTTTTGTTTGAACAAAAAGCATTGTAAATACGGCTGTCAAAGCCAGAGGCTACGCAGAGAACTGCACAGCGGCGTTCAGCACATTGACTTAATATCTCCAGGATTTTTTAATGGGTCGATGGATGCAATAAAACACACAAATCATCTGTCCCGTTCATTTTATTTATGATCCGCGCTACATGGGAGAAATGCGTTGGGCTTGTTGACTCCACCACATTTATCTAATGGCTGAAGTTGCTTTGTGCGTTACTTGTTTACGTTTAATATCAGGGTGCTCCAGAGGGCTGCGTTCACGATCGCTGCTTGAGTAACATCGTTGCCCTTTTAGCGGGTCAACAGTGGGTGTATTTGCCATCGTAAATCACGCTCTTAACACACCTCATTCACTGTTTCCCATGGGTGGGTGGGTGTGCACTTGTGCGAGCAAACAAGTGTGCGTTGTGTACTCTGTTGCCTGAGCAGCTCATTCGAAGACTTTTACAGTGGCTACATTCCCGCGTGTGTGAAAGCGTCTGTGACGTCCTCGTAAGTGTCCTAAATGTGTGTGTTTTTTAAAGTGTGTTTGCTTAAATAAGCTAGTAAATAAACCAGTGGGCGCATAAGGCCATCTTTCTTGTGTCTCTGCAATGGGTGATGACGTGTGATTAAGTTCAGAATAAGAAGACCTCTCTAATGAGGGGACTGCGGGAGACACGAGGGGAGCCAGAGTTTGTTTATCCAGACGTGTCCCTCCATGTCTCCACCGTCCTCCAGTGGAGGCTGGCATCCTTAGCGAGGCTTGTAAACATGTTGATTTTTCCTTGGCTCTAACCAAGCTGGCTCACGGAGCTCGCGGAGTAAATGAGCTGGTGTTCGACCCGGGCCAGCTGAGGAGGAGGCGTGGAGACGAGGGAGGGAGGGAGGGGTGAGGGTGGGGAGGTCATTTCCACACAGATCTGCATACTCGACAATTTAAAAAAAAGTTGCACTTTTTCGACTTCCAGGGTCAAATTACTGAATTCTGCTACTTTATTGCTTTTTTGAAGGTTGATATGGGCAGAGGTGCTTTATTATCAGATTGTTTTTTGACTTAGATGTGAGGCTAAATACTGACCCCGTGCATGAAGTTGATTGCATTTAGCGACATATTAAAAATTTCTTCTTACATAAACCATTTCCTTCTTTTTTGGTTTGCAGACCCTGTATCCAGCGAGACGGCCTTCCTGGAGGACTATGTTCTGGGCATTGGGGAAACTCTGGATATGTCATGTGACCCGGAAGAGCAGGAAGACCACACGGAGCCTATTGTGTGGTTCAAAGACGGCGCTGGACTTGTGCCTTGCAACCGGATACGGTTGGGCCAGAGGATGCTCCGCATTATCAATGTGTCGTATGACGACTCCGGGGTCTACTCGTGCCGGCTCGCCCGGAGCAACACGCTGCTCAGCAACTACACCATCAGGGTGACAGGTGAGAGCGTGGGGAAAGTGTGTAGAAAAGACAAAAGTTGTTGAGTATCTGAAAACTTTGAGTAGGGGCATCTAGCCATAGATTTAAATGCAAAAGTGGAAGGCAGATACGTTAACTGTTGAGCTTTAAATAGGATACGAGACCCACAATATTTTTAAGATAGTTGAGTTACTAGCAGAGCTCCAGCAGAAACAGGCGCTTTGGCTGCTCCTCGCAGAGCTCTCTGAAATCCGACCTGTCTCGGTTGTTCTGCCTGTCTGACAGACAAACCGAGTCTCAAAGTTTTTTCTATCAATAAATATACTCAAACAGTTACAGTAGCGCTGTCTCTACGTGACAGCTGTTTATAGAGAAACACTGAAAACTTAGCTCAGGAGGAAATTTCTATTATTTGCTACTCCTGCTCAGTTTCAGCTCCATGTCATCTGCCTGCCAAGCTGCACGCACACACACACACCAACACACACACAAGCACATATCCAGCATACCGGTACAGGCTTTCACTAGCTAACACCCAGCCAAGCTTCACACAGATTCCCACCTCCTGATGCACAGTCAAAGGTGAAATTCATTATGCGGCGAGGGGATGGGAAACATTTTAAACAAGTGTGCGATGCAAGCGGAGCTCTAATAGGAATGCTTGTGTAGGGGGTGTGTGTGTGTGTGTGTGCTTAAAAGTGGAGCCGCATTTACCCGTAAAACTCATGGACACCAACTGAGCCTGTTATTGACAACTAATTAGAAAGCAATTAGCTTGAAACGTTTCATCATTGAAAGCAGATGGGGTGGCAAGAAATGAGAGAGTTCACTCTCAGCTCACTCACCCCACCTCCTCTCTCTGACACACACACACACACACACACACACACACGGATGCATTTATTTGGCAGAAAACTGGGAAGAAAATGGGCATTTTTACTGATCAGAGGTGGGCAGGTTCTCCTCCCGGATCTTCGTATCAGCTCCAAACTGCACACCAGGACACTGTGCAAACACAGTGCCTTTATCAGTGACTTAAAAGGAAGAATAAGAGGCGTTCTCCTTTAAAATCTGACTTTTTTTGGTCTTTAAAGAAGTTGATAAATAAAGAGAGATAATTGAAGCTGGTTCCACCTCCACTTAACATGTCTCAGGTGTTGCACATGTCTGACATTTCATATTGTTTCGGCTCTCCATGCATGTTTAAATTACTCAAGAAGCCAGACTTCTTCCAGTATGCATTGCAATATCCCCCCCCCTTATACCGCCGATTCTCCTCCCTCTACTTTAAACATAGAGCCTCCGTTTTATCTAAAACACACATGGACTATTGTGTTTTCCCTCAAATATTTGAGCAAGGTGTCAGAAATTTAGGGGCGGTATCAGATTTAGCACTTGGACAGCTTCCAGGCAGCAGAAAGGGGCCAAATCTCACTGTACACACACAGCACACATGCAACAAGTACAACTACAAACTGAGGTTTGTACAAAGGAGTACGTGAATTACTTATTGACAAAAATTCAGTTTTATTTATAAAGCGCTAAATCACAATAAGAGTTGCCTCAAGGTGATTTATACTGCAAGCTAAAGACCCTACAATAATACACAGAAAACCCCAAGAATCTGGTAACCACCTATGAGTAAGCACTTGGCGAAAGTGGGATGGAAAAACCCTTTTAACAGGAAGAAACCTCCAGCAGAACCAGGCTCAGACACAGGCAGCAACTGCTGCGACCGTTGGGGGTGATGGGCATGACAAAAGACTTATGACTAATGATTAAATGGTTTAAGATTTAATTATTCACTTGTTTATGTGTTTAAGAAACACATAAACAGGTGAAATATGATTTACATATCTGGGTGTAGAGCAGTTTTAGCAGACAAAAACTGCTAAAAGTTTAATAGCAAATAACAACAACTAAAGATGAGCATTTGCACCCATAGACTATGAAGGATGAAGTGGCCTAAACCTGACTTCTTTCTCAAAGCCTGCATGGAGCACATCCTCTAGTTAAAAAGAAAAAGACTCGCTTGATTTGCGATCCAAGTGAATATTTCTCTTACGAGTTTATGGACTCCATCACTTGTTTCAAGTGCTGTTTGATATAGCGTTAACAAAATATGATCCAAATGCAGTAAAATAGACAATAAACTGGGATTTACGATGTGGCTACTTTGTCGGTCAACCTTTTCATGTGATGTCTGATTCCACAGATAACAAGATGTCAAAATGTTTAAGGTGGTTACGTCCATCCTTTATGTCCAGTCTATGGCTACACTGTATGCTAACTGTATGCTAAAGCTAAACTAATCCTTTCATCTATTGAGCCGAAAGGCTTTAGAGCTTTATCAGTGCACTAAAATACATGTGCCTGCTTTTCTCTATTATTTCTCTCTTTTATTCCAAAGTTTTCTATTATGTCATTCATTTTGACAACCACTGTAGTGTGTTAAATACTTGGTTTACTGATACAGTGCTGGCACCCATCTGATCCGTCAGTCAACTGTAACTGCTGCCTTGCTTCTAAGGTGCAAAACACTAGCAGAGTGGAGCTGTGGGCTGATGTGTCCAATAATAGAAACAAAACCTGCTAGTTCCAGGAGCAGTTTGAGTTGTCGAGGTAACAGCTGGCTCTCATTAACCAGAGCCGTGGAGCTGAACCAGAAAACGTTGAGGTCACATCGAAAATAATTACAGCAGCGGAGTGAAAACGTGTGATACAGCAAACCTAAACAAGATGGAGAGCAAGATGGAAAGTAATTTGGCGTAAACCTGCGCGCTAACCGTTAGCAAGAGTTAGGGTCAGTGTGTGTTGCAGAGATAGCTAGAAAGAATAGTTTTTGTGCGTGTATCAGCACATGTGCGCACACTCTTGTGCAAGTGCGTGTCAGCGACACTAATGACCCTCTTATTTGTGCCGTCTGTGGAAATGTTTGGATTGCAATATCTGAGAGAGCTGCCACGCTACAGAGAACTGTGGGCTCATTCATGAGTTCCTGAATGAACAGCTTTAATATGCATTCATGCATCTGTGTGTGTGTGTGTGTGTCTTTGTGCTTGTTTGTCTATTCGTGCTTGGTTGTGAACACCCCCTTTTCCCTTTATCTCCCTCTTGTTGCATAAAATACATTCTGGTCTACAAACTTTCCACATGTAATTTCCTTCTTATCCAATAGGCAAAATAGTTCAAGGAGTTGTATAAGAAAAGACACTGTATGTGTTTTCTCATACAACTGCTGTATTTTTTCAAATGAGTTATTGCTCATTTATATTATTTTAAATGAAATAATTTCACTTCAGCCATAAATTAATAATTAATTAAACTCTTTTTTTTTGTATTTTCTTTCGTCAGATTCTCTGTCGTCTGGTGATGATGAAGATTATGATGAAGACCCTGAAGGTGCAGGTAATGAAAATGGTGAATTCTTTTCTTAAACCACATTTCACAGTCAGAAAGTATGATACGTCTCTCATCGGGAAATGCAGTATTGTGCAAGAGTGTTGAACCAGTCCTCATCTATTTATAGTTTGCAAGGAAAATGGTAAATGGGTACAGCGAGTTCTTGAAACATGTTCAAACATATGTGGAAACACAGAACATAGGTCAACAATAGAGTTTGTTGAATGGTAGGTTAAGTCAATATTTATTATGAACACCTTTACTCTGCAATGCCGATTGAACTCTCTTAGTCAAGCTTTCTTTAAGCAGTCTTCATAAATAGTTCTCCAGGGTTCTTCAAGGACATTTAAGGTTCTTCAAGGTTCTTTGGTTTGTTCTGTTCTCTGTAAAGATGATCCCACACTGCTTCAGTAATGCTGAGATCCATGACTGATAGGAGTCTACTGTGTGTTTTTATATTCAGGCATGTTTTTATTGGATTGGCAGTGTGTTTGGGTTCATTGTCATGCTGAAAATGAAACTGTTGCAATTTAGGCACTTTTCAGATTGCGCTGCATGGTGGGTCAAAACCTGATGGTACTTTTCTGCTTTTAAAGCTCCATAAATTTTGACAAGATCTCCAACAGCACTGGTTGAAATGCAGCCTAAACATGACAGAGCCTCCACCGTGCTTTAGCTCTACACTTTCATTGTTATCCCTCTGTCCTCACCTGCTCCATATATATGATGTAAATTTGAACCGAAAAGTTTTAAATTTGGATTCGTCACACCATGAGACCTGTTGCCACCGACTGCCAGTAAAGTTCTTGTGTAATTTGCCATACCTCAGTTTTTTCCTCTGTTTCCTTCCATAAAAATTCAATTTTATTCAATTTTATTTATACAGCGCCAATTCACAACAACAGTTCCCTCAAGGCACTTTATATTGTAAGGTAGACCCTACAATAATACATACAGAGAGAAACCCAACAATCAAATGACCCCCTATGAACAAGCACTTTGGCAACAGTGGGAAGGAAAAACTCCCTTTTAACAGGAAGAAACCTCCAGCAGAAGCAGGCTCATTGAGAGAAGAGAAGGAAGACAGGATGAAAGACATGCTGTGGAAGAGAGACAGAGATAGCACATAGTGAGTGAGAAAGGTGACTAAAGAAGAAATACTCAATGCATCATGGGAATCCCCCAGCAACCAAAAATGGCATCAGAAACCATTTCTGATGAGGCTTGGAGGAACTGAAGGGCCAAATGCATCTTTAAGGTCCTGTGTCAGATATTTATAAAGTTATAAATTCCCTGTGTCGTACATAAATGAGCTCTTCATATTATTTACACCACACTTGCACTTTTATCCTCAGAAGTTAATGTGCAGTTTACAATTTAAACTCATTTCATTTGTCATAGTGACAAAAGAGTTCATCTGCAGGAGCAACAGCACGTCCCCACAAAGTCGCTTTTAAGGGCCACTGTGTGACTACAAATGGATTTATGCAGGCGATTAGACTTGTACGAGCGTAATCAGAGTTATATATCTGTCATTGACATTATATGGCTCTTATAATCGCTCGCATTAAACCTTCCCCCACAAGCACAAAACTAAATGCCACTGTCGCACAGATCAAAGGCCGCTGTTTCTCCAGCAGGTAACAGCCCCTCTCACTGCTCTTTTGTGATGTGAGCTGTTTTGGCATTCAGAGACCTGCGGAGTTCAGGTGTAGGTGAACAAAGAATGAGGAGGGATGGCTTTCACTGGCTGCACACACTTTACACGCTCTATTCTGTCAGCTAGCATGACTCCAGAGAGACAGAAAGCACCTCCACCCCTCTCGGCAAGCTCTCGGCCAGCCAGACGCCACACTGTGCTGCCTTTGTTGTACCATACGGAGCGAGACAGCAGAAGGTGAGGTGCAGACAGTTAGAGACGAATCTAAAAAGTGAGAGGAAAGAGTTGATGGAACTACAGTAATAAAGGGAAGACAATGGGATATAAGTGAAGGGTAAAAGATAGAGTGTAGGATGCAGAGACGAAAAAAGGGGGAGTCAGCAGACTGTATAAAAGTGAAAACCAGCCCAAAACATGCTAACGATGTCAAACAGACCATGATATGTTGAACCAACTCCCAGTCCACCCTTAACCACTCAACAAAATTGGTGCCAAAAGCAAAATGCGCAACTGCTTCAGTGACATCGACAGGCGCACGCCCAGCCGAAATCAAAGCCCCTTTGTGAAAGTCGCTACAAAGATCCAACCAAATCAAACGTCATCACACTCAGCTCAAACTAAAATAAAACTGAAGCCGAGGCAATGATTGTGGGAGATACTGCCGCTCCTGAAACTCTCAGTGCCCCGTGGTTATCATTAGCAGTTCACCCAATCGTTTGTT